ACAGATCGACTATTCTTCATTCCGCACATACCAGCGATGCTGTATGATTACGTCTTGGTCTGATGATGCCCGCTGAGGCTCGGATCACTGATTTGCGATCAAACTCCGTTTAGGCTGAAGTAAGAGAGTTGATAGATAGTTGAGTTGTTGGTCGAAGAGATGACTTGGGCGGTCATCATGCAACGGATGTGTGCTGCTGTCTGAATTGTTACCCATACGAATTCTGTGCTAGACCAGTCATCTTCAGTTTTAAGCCTTTTGGGATAGTCAGACAAATTCTCTCCGCCTCCGAATTGAATCCAAATTTGCACGCTGAACTTAGAGCCTAGGATGGCGGGGTTTCATTGATTAGTTAATAATTAGCAGAATATTTGATATCTAAGTGTTGGTGACGTGTTATACATTTATAGAGTACGAATATTAAACTATCACGCAACCATTATTTGACATATTTACATTGCTCATTTATCCTAAGCAACGGCGTGCCTTGTAGAAGTCAAAACCTTACAGGTAATGATGCAATAAGCCTTTTGCGTTTATCTTCTGAGGGCCATCTAAAGAAATTACCTCACGCTCTAATTTGTGAATCACTGCTTCGACCAACGCTTGCTTCGTAATATTTAAGAAATTTTTTTTCTGTTCTCCGTATTGCATACGTATTAATTTCTCCTATTTTTTGGCACTTTTGTCTTTATTCGTCGTAAAAATGGTCTTCATTAATTGTTTGAAAAATTAATTCTGCGGAAAGTGCGGCAAAGTTGTTTCATCGAAATGCCGCCGTTTAAATGGAGGGTACTGACTCATGGACTATAGTGAGTGATTTCTTTCATGTAACTGTATCAATTTTATTAAGAAATGGTTCGTTTGTATGATTTATAAAAATTTGTCACAGTATCATTTGTCAAAGTAGTTGCATATAAGTCGACGTTTTTCCGAACCGAAGATGAAAAAGTTATTCTTATTTACTTGGTAACCCGTACTGTTGCTTTCACTGAAGATATGAAAGAATTACAGCTCTTTGGTATACCCTGAATACCAGCGTTAACTTCTGCAGCTTGCTCGTGCATTATAGCAGCATTACTGCTTATGGAAACAGTAATACCGTTCTACATTACTGTGGGCCCAGAATCGTCCCCCAAGTAACATCACGATTGAGACCCAAACCTGCGGTCGGTATATGTTGTATCAGTGCGTTTCATATGGCGGTTAATAATCGCCGATGTTGATCATTTCTTTACTGCCCAGTAGTCAAGTTATGAACAAACTGATACAACAGTACAAAAATCTAAACATATCATAGATAGGTGAAACTTTACAGCAGGTCAATATATTTAAGTTCTTCGGTTTCATCATGCCGAATAGCAACACCCGCTAATTAGAGTTAATTATGAGCATCGGACTTGCTTCTAGTACTGTTGATATCCTCTCTTATCTTCAGCTTTTAAAGGGAACATCGGTTTTTATGAAATTGCTCATACCATCGGTTATGTCCGTGCTCCCTTGCCCCATGGTAATCGTTGTTTTAATTTTCTGTTGCTTAGCTCGGGGGGGGGGTGGAGTGACTAGCAACTTCATAGTTCAATGTTCAGATGTCTAAGCTAACGAATGGCCAACGGGTGGCATTCTGGGCATCAGTTATGCTGCCTTTCGCAGATGGCTTTCAGTAATAATACATTATAGAAGATACTGGTGCATCTTCAATCTGTAAAGGAGGTTTCCGCAGCTCCCTGGTCCTCTTCGTATCCGGTTTAATCTCGGCCATTCTTTGCAAGCCAAGTTTATTCCAGAAGATTTTGTGGTTGGATTGTAGACCACTCTGTTATATGCGGCTGTTGTTTACCACCTGTTACTGTTACTCAGTTGTTGTGTTGTCAGAGGTTTTAAGGAGCAAGAATGAAGGCAGAACAGAGTGCTGCTGCAGTGGTTTCGATACATAATGAGGTACTTGAGCCAGGGACACAGATCGGGTGAAGAGTAAAGTGACTAATCTCTTGTCAGGGCAGACTACGATACAGTATATTTCATAGAGCCGTAAAGACTGGTGATAAAATTAAATCGTTTGTCAAGATTTGACGGACCACGTTTTTATCATCATCGATCGTTTTTCTCAACGGTCTCTAATTACTATGCATGGAAAAGTATCCATTTTAGAAGGCAATTAACGGAAACTTCTGAGTTTAACCAATTTTTTGCTTAATTACTAACGTGAACAGCAAATTATGCTCAGCTGATAATTTAAGGGACTTCGGGAAATGGCTGCAGCGGTAACCTCGCCTATGTTGAACGCTGAGGAAGCTCCAGGTTCAGAATCTAACGGCGCGTCATCCGAAGGCACTTCCAGTGATGAAATTACCGAACAGAATAACGTTCCCCGTCGTTCCAGACCGATCACTACGTATGAAGAGTTACAGCGTCGAAATCGACTCCAGTTTTATCAGCAGTACCAACAAAACTTAACGCATCAGTATAAACAGCCGGTTGGTCAAGAAGACGCATATAGTGCTTCGGCGCCTTCACAGCCAGAACCTCTGGAAACTTCGTTAGAATATAAAACTGAATCGTACCCAAGCTCATCAGCTCAAAAGTACCACGACGACGGCTTTGAATAGATGTTAGTATTTTGTTTTTATGTACGTGGAATATTTTCCAGTAGTAAAGTTTTCTTACAGATGTTTTTTATTATTACTTTTACGGTTTTGTGATACCACTGTTCCTTAATTTGTCAACGTTTCATACTGCTTCTCTATGCACATCATGTAATTACTGATTGAAGTTTACGTTTGGTGTTAACGACGTTTGACCGTGAAGCAGTTTATGGACACAAAGTATGAATTAGCAGAGCTCGTCAAACGACGCGTCGAAATATCAGTTAGCAACAAAATACCTACTTCTAGCATTCTACAGTAAATTTTAGGAAACGCTAGCTGCTTTGGAACGACAGATCTATCATTTTGAAGGTAGTTATTTGGAAGAAACCAGTCAATACGGTAACGTCATCAAAGGATGGGACCGGTATCTGAACATGCAGCCACCCTCAAAGTAAGTGTATTACTTGAAAACTGCTTGCTTATGTGTGAACTTGTTTGTTCAGTGTTTTTTCTATAGAACAAAAAGAAAAGTATAATATTTCGGTATTCTCATTTCTTAGTAAATCATATGACGAACCATTAAAATCTTCATGTAACGCAGCATCCATCCGTTTTGCAAAAGAAAAATATCTTTCCATGTTCCTTTCTCACAATGTTTGTAAAATAGCTATGCAATTATTAAATAAGCAGAGCATTTTATTAAAACATAATGTAAGCTAAGAAAGTGGTCAACATTCAGAACTCTGGGGCACGGTGTTCTTTGATAAAGTTGAAAGAGAGACTAGATGAAGAATGCCATCTACATCAGAAGCAATTGTCTCAGTGACGAGCTGATACAATAGTGAAGAAAAAAGCATTAAGTAAAACAGAATTAATCGTGTGGAAACGAAAACGAGATGAGGTTATTGTATAGACAATTTATTTAATACCAAATCCCAGCAGAATAAGGTGCCTGGGTAGCTGAATTCACCTATGACGCTGTCAGCATGGTGACTTTGATGAAGAGGTTGTTTCTGCTTGTATCCTGGTCTAAGATTTTGATCTCTCCACTGTCGATAAGGTATGTTTCGTATCCTTTGAATACTTTACCATTCTAGAATGGCATACAGTTGCAGAGCCGCTCTATGTTTTTTCAGTCGATTTTATCCGCCGTTTATTCCTATTGATGCAGAAAGCGCTAACAATTCTTACGTTTCATGTGATAAAGAGCACAGTTATTGTAAAAGCCACTTACTTTTCATGCTACCCAAATATCATATTACCCAAAGCGATGCTTTTCTCGTTATATACTTTAAATCCCACATGATTAACATGACCTTCCAGTTAATTGAGGAAATTATTTAAGAGGAGTGAAAAGATATTTGGATTACATGAATGGGTAGATATAAACTAGTTTCGATAAATGATTAAATAAAAGTCTATTAACGTAATCACACCTATAGAAAATGTTTATAAAATCAGATATTTCTTGTTTAAACAAATGTTTGTCATTACAGTAATCTGTAGCCTGACTACGTATGTTTGTGGCAATGCTCTGTAGCTAACTTTATGGAACAACAAAAGCGTTTTGGAATCGATTACCGTTCTCCTGTTGGACTAAGCACTAAAATGATAATGGATGTTCTGCTAATCATAATCTCAGTGTATGCGATAGATTCATTAACTTCTTCATCAAGAGTAAAAATTATATGCTTATCATCATAGTGATTATTGAAAAAACAAAGAAATTTTTACATTTGTTGATGTGGCATGAAAAGAGCCAACGTGGAGTTTAGAGTCTTTATATCAGGAATAAAGATTTGTTTTATGACAGATGGCTAGTTATTTAAGGCTGAACCTTCAGAGGATTTCATGAAGGTCTCGACCGTGGTAATACTGACAGAAGAGCAGTGGCATTACCATAACATTGAAGATGAAACTCGAGTTCGAATTCATAGCATATATATGATGCTGACTTCGTCAGTGATCAGCTATCAAAGCTTCTCATCCAGCTGGAATGTGATGCAAAATAGACTTCTTAGAGAGCCGTATCTCCTCATTTTCTCCTCGTTCAAATTTATTTTATTCATATTTTTACTATTTCAGTATAAACCTCTCCCTAGCCACAGTGATGTTGGCACACACTGCTTTTCTTCCTGATCAAGGATTTCTTTCGCCCTGATAAAGAAACACCGTACCAGAGTTCCGAGATCTCTGCATTAAATAAACTGTTTTTAGGCTTATGTGCAGCTTCAAAAGTTTGTTCATATCCATGGCCCAATAATTGCTTCAAAATTGAATGGCTAAATGTTTTTACTCTAAGCATTTTTTCCATTATTTTTTTTAAATATTGCGCTGTGAAAAAGTGATCTTCGCCTTACGACGGATGAGAAATTGACTTTCATCAGTGTTGTTAGACTGAATGAAGTTTAGTTTGATGGAAGGTTTTAAAAATTATGGCACCTGATAGCCTATTGCACAGATTCCATGAGTAGTTACCTGTCTAATGCGTTATAATTTTATTTAATAATTTATTTGTTTGAAAGTTGAACGATGACGCAAGCGCTCTTAATCGAATTTATTAGGTCAATTAAAGTAATGAGGAGGATTTTTTCAAAAATGTTTTATTTTGCTGAACGTCTGATATCTCGACGACACCATAAAGTTTTAACAGGGTTATCTTCTCTTTTGGCCAGACCGATTTTGGGCGATTTTGAATTAAAGGGTCTTCAAGTATTTTTTGAATCACAGTCTATAAATTTTGTTTTGTTAATTTGGTTTCAGTAAAATGCCAACGAAGCATTTTCTGTCGAAGCTGGGGTATGAGTTGCTGTTAAAGTTTTCATTGAATATGCTTAATTTATTCTTGTGTAAAATATCTGTAGTGTATGGAAATTACAGCTTGGTGTTTGTTGTTTTTCCACACAGTTTCTCAGCTGATAACTGTCTTCTCTTAGAAATGGAACCAGTGACAAGAAGAATCGAAAGTTCAAGGATTCTGAACGCCTCTTTTCTTTGTCTTCGGCAACATCGAGCATGGTATTTGTATTTCGTAGTATTTCGACAAAAGTTCTTTTTATTTTAGGCCATCAAAAGTATACTTGAACGAGAAAATAAGCGCAAGGCAGAAGCAGATTCTACTGACAAAGGTTAATATGTTTTTGATTGCTTTCGTTTAAATATATTCTCTAAATTGTAAACTGCAAATATGATTCTGATAGAAAATATCGCAGGTAAAACGTTCACTTTTGAATACAAAAGCGGTCTTTTCACGCAAGAGTAGTATCCCGGACGAACAGATGACCTTCCATTTAAAGCAGTTCTGTGTTTCGTTGAGAGAAGTAGTCCGACAGAACGATGATCCATGCGATATAAAAGCGTGAAGTATATTCCTTATTCTACCTACGTTCTCGTTAGACCATCTGTAAGCAAGATGGATGAATGATTTTAATGAAGACCTGTGTCGTCATAGGGAAAACAACACCTTACATCCTGTGGTCTAAGCTCTAAGCTTAATATGACTTTTCTTCTGGCGAAACAGTTACAGTAGTCACGTTGTCTTTAGCTTCAGCTTTAACAACATGACGTTTAATATGTCTGCTTGGTACAGCTACAATATTGTACTATGCCATAACTCACAAACAGTGTGCGTCTGTCAGTCATTCAGTTTTGATATCTTTTATATTTTCGAGTCGTACAGGCAGACACGAAAACCACTCTCTAACTTTCGTAGTTCTGTGCTAACGGTTAAGCTTCGCCAGAAAATAAGTCACGTATGATGCATTGTTTGACGAGACTCTGCGAGGTTTCACGTCATCCCCTGAATCTTCCATCGGTTGATTTGGCCGTTAGCAACAGTTTCGCCAACGTTTTTGGAAGCATTCCCAAATCGTGCCCATTCGGTCGAAGATATCACTCCTCAGTCTGGAGAAGCAGTGGCCGTGCATCAAGACTCTTCCAGACATCTGTTCTAAGGACCATGTCAAGAATAGTCAACCTGCCGACTCGTCCCACAACGCCCATTTTATCCGCTTGTATTTCAGATTGATGTTTTTTCAGTCATGGCCCCCTGCTTGTGATTGTAAGTGGTCATCGGATGAATCGACTTGAACGAAGACGGCTTCGTCGTTCGACTCAGCTTTCAAATAGTGTAGGGCGTGATAAGGCATACAAGATAGCAGGGCAATACGGATCAGTGGTTTTTTCCTCTGGGGATTTGTCAGGTTCTAAATACAGTTCTATTGTCTCACTGATGTTGTATCGCTTGTGATGCATGGTGACGTCTGCATGCGAAAACAAAAGTTTCAGTTTTTTACTTATCGCTATTGTTCGTTGTCGAATTTCCCCTTTTAACAATGTGGAGACCAAGAAGTCACTGCATTTCAACATTATCACTGTTAATGTTATCCACTATTTTCTGCCGTGGAAAAATTTCAACGTTATCCCTGATCTTCTCTCGGTTCTCTGTTATTCTTTTATGCATGTTAAGTGTATTTTTCTTCACTATACTTCAGCTTTTAAATACACCGATGCATACATGCATATATGGATGCGTACGTTCGTTTTTTATCATATTTCATATCACTTTCTCCGAGACTCTTGTCCTTTTGTTGTTTACACTTTTTTGACACAGTCGTTACGAACTGTATGTGTCATGTTGTTTCTTAGTGAAATATGCGTTATTTTCTTGCGTTTTTCTATCAGCTATGAAGGAAGGTTGAATTAGTAATGAAAAGAATTGATGCCTGCAATTTGCATTTTAATTTGTCAGTTTTTTTGCATAAAGTGATGCATTTGCTAGCTGTGTAATGCATTAGGTGACTCGAGCGAAAACGAAATCAAAGTCGTCAATGGCAGACCCGAAAGTACTGGCGATCGCGGTTCAGTCCTACATCAAATACATTCAAGTAGGACGAGCCGGAAAAGCGAAGGAAAGAAACGCGGGAAAAAATTTTAGCTGGTTTTTTACACTTAAAATGTAAATAATAGATGTACATATGTACAGTTGAATTAAATTCAGTTTGCGTTCACGCAGCGGTTCGGAAGTCACTGATTTGTAAAACCACTAGATCAGTTATGTGACTGACCGTTGTATTAAAATTTTATTCACTATAATTTGCTTGCTAGTTGCCCTGATGGTGGTCACAACCACGTGAGCTAACCATCCATAAAAGCAAGCATAGTCATGGAAATCGCGAAGTATTTAAGTACAACCTATTCAAAGTCTGAGGGGCGTTGTTGTATTGGTAGGACTTTGCGCTAACAGCCAAATCAGCCGTCTATCGGTAATTCCATTTACTTCAGGCCGAAACTACTGTCTAAGAGCATGTAGAAGAACGAGGTAGAGTTTGTTTTGATATTGCATCGTTTTTAACAGTACTACTGTTCGTATTTCGATATAATGGTAAGTTTGAAAAATGCATAATTATCCGGTTCGTTATACATTGCATAAGTAATTTGCATTCATTTATTTTTGATTGAATCAGTGTTAGTTAATCAGATGAGAAAAGTTCTACTGACGTCTCTGATGCATTCCAATCTGACGATCTCAAAATTCCTAATAAACCAGTATCGTCGACTTACCTTACCCTTATGCTGAAGGCTTCGCTATAAGCAATAGTGAATGAAAAGAATAAAAATGACGGCGGGAAAAGGAAGGCTTGACAACACCAAGATTATCAGTGCTTTGAATATATTCCCGTTCAGCATTACGAACGACAATAGTATTTTTGGAGGTAGTT